TTTTTAATTTTTAAGAGGTAAAGTGAATCAATACTAATTTTATACTTAAATTTCAACTAATTTAGTACTACCCTTATTCCTTTTATAGCAGTTTTATTTTGATTTTTTGAATATATATTTTAGATGAAATTTTAACAATTTATATAAATTACAATTAACTTTTTTTTATCTTCTATATAGTTCTTGTTGACTATTTTATTATAAAAAACTTCAATTATTTTTTATATAATATATATTAAATTTTTATTTAAATTTTATATTCAAAAAATCAAATTAAAATGACTAAAAATAAACAAAAACGAGTATTATTAACTTCCTCCACCTTAACACTTTCTTAGGCTCAATACAAATGGATCTCATGATCATATGTCAGGTAGGGCAGCTGCAGGAGGGCTTCTTGGTGATCACTGTGGGCACTGATATCATGGTTTCGCCATAAACGTGGGCATTACCACAAGCTTCTTGACTAAGTTGTGGGGATGCAGAGAAGGCGTAAAGCTAGCTATTTCTCTTTCAGTGCAGCAATTAATTTTGGAAATGGATTCTTTGCTGACGGTGCAATCCATTCAGTCCCAGGAGGTGTCAGCAGGATCAGCTTTGGTGCTTCTCACTAATATTTTCTTGTTGCTAGACACTTTTAGTTCTTGCTCACTGCATCATACTCCCAATGGGTATTAGCATGATTCTACAGAGTGATTGTTTTGGATCTATAGCTGTTTGGTGGAGCTTTATTTAAGTTTTTACAATTTTAATACTATTTATAAGTTATAAGTTATAAGTTACAATTTTTATTAAAAAATAAAAATAAAAGTTATTTTTAACACACTATGCTCCTTACGATTTTTTTTTTTTGACAAGTACAATGATTAGTAAATTAATTTTATTAATTGTTAATAATTGAAGATTCGATCCTCAAATCTAATGAATATCTCACCTCTCTTAACGAGATGCACGATCCATTGAGCCGTTTGATAGAATTTATTCATTATGAATTAAGCTGAGATAAAACCAATAGGTGTAAAAAAAATAAAAAAATTTAAGAAATGAGTATTAATTGTTAATTATTTTTAATAATCAAATGAATAAAAAAAATAATAATAATAACTGTGTCATCTTTTAACAAAAACTGTGTGTAGAGTCATAACTAGAGCCGCCCTGTGTCTTCTGAGAACGCTGTTAATCAGATCGGCATATTTGGCGCAAAGAAGGTCAATGGTCGGCCATTGAGGAAGTCCTCCGTCAAATTTTGTCTAAGGATTCCATCACCCACAGGATTTCGGACATCTTTTTTTAATTCTTGTCCATTTTTTATGAGGTTTTTTTTTTTTTTGGGGGTCCCACATGCTTCCTCAAATCACTAATACCATGTCAGTGTCACTTTACTTCACTAAACCCTGTCTCAACAACGTATGTTCCCCTCGCTAATCACGCTTACTTAATCATTACTCCTCCCTCTCTCGAAAACAACTGTCTTCTTTTACTGTTTTTCTTCTTCTTCTTCTTCTTTTCAAAATTTAAAAAATTTAAGAGAATTTATGTATTTATTGTATTTATATTATTATTCTTAAAAACAATAAAGATAAAGAAAAAAAATTTTGGTTGTACTTGTAGTTTGGACAATTAAATTTAAGAGAGAACAGTAAATTTTAAAA